ATGGCACCTGGCCTCTTTTATACATCATCCCAATCGTATGAAGCAGTCAAATCAAAGTGAAAAGTCAGCGGGTAAGAGACACAATATGCCGGAGCGGCTGCAGAGGAAAGGGGAGGTGAGAGAAAAACGATGCAGACTTCCTGGTCATTCGGCTCAATCTCCTTCCCTCTGTCTTGGCCCTAATCCACTTAGTCGGCTCTTCCTGAGCTTACGGCCTTTGCTTTATTCCATTATAAAGACCCACCGCATGACCCGCTTCTTATTTCATTAAAACGCTCCAATCTCCGACTCTGCGTCTAATCTATAATGTAGACGAGCGACCGTATAGACCGTTGACTAGTTGCTTTCGGACTGACGGATGGGGGCGGTGGGATGGAGGACGGGGGGGAGAATTTGAGAGCCCCGCTTACGAGCCGGCGAATGTGATTGTGCTGATCCAAACCATGATGGAGTCGTCTTCTCTTTCTTTGATGGCTTTCGCCTTGAGTGATATGGAAATGGCCTGATCGAAGAGGAGGCATCAAGAGGGCTCTGCCGGGCCCCAACACCTCAGACGCTTGTTGTCAGATAACCTTGAGTGAGAAAATCGTTGCGAATATTCGATTGATTCTCCTTCAATTAGTCTTTTACCGCATCTGACTGCGTTTGACCTTCTCCAACTCTGGCCGCCCTTCACCTGTAATACCCTTTTTACACGACCTCCAGCACGCTGAGTGCTTTGTTTTTCAAGTTAATTTTACAACCCTCCCTCGTGTCAAAGCTTAAAATCCTATCCGGTGACGCGGTTATTGATAGGGCAGCACTCTTGAGAGTTAAGCACCTGGCTTTCCAGCACACCTGCGCCAGATATTTGCCACGCGGCGTCAGATAAAGACGATACGCCCCTTGCGGAGGCATCAAATGTACTTTTGTAGCCAAACTATTGCACGTACCTGTACCATTTTAAAAGGCTTTTCCTTGTGCTCCAGATTCTCCATTCCTTGCCAGTGTCATCGGTGAATTGCAGATGAAGCAAACTTTGAATGAGAATTTAAAAAAAAAAAAAGATATGTTCCAACAATTACCCATAAATAGTGGAGCGGAGTCAGGACAAAGAGGCAATGTCAGAGAAACTGTGAAATACGCTTGAGTCACAATGTGTCCAACCTTAGAATGGGCTATTGAAATTATTATTTTACAGTATTTCTAAAAACTATCATTTATGTATACGTACTATTATTTATAAGACAACATTTTAAAAAAATATTCTATTGTACTGTATAATAGATATAAAAAAATAAAGCTGACTACTTCATGAATTTTTCCTTTCACGGGTTCCTTGTCGAACGTGACCATCGCGATAAACGAGGGTTCACTGTATTACAATCACGGTCGTCAGTTTAGACACTGAGGAAAACAGGAAAAAAAACGGAACAGGTTAAATCTGTCGTTAGTTCAGTTGGTTATAACTGAAAAACATCTGATTGGCCGAGTTGTTTTCTCATAGGAGCAGTTACAATGCTTGTATTTCTTCACTATGTATCCCCATAGTCAAGCATTTCCTATCAGAATGACCAGAAAAGCTATGTCGCTTCAAGTGTGTTGGAAGTGTGCCTTGAGGGGCGTGGCCAAGTGAGTGACATCAGGAGCTGGAATTGGAGTTGCTCCTTGCGAGTACTTGTCCTGTCCGATTACCGTCTGAAAGTGGATCGGCGACTCTGGCTCTTCTTGCTCACATGTCAAGGCGTTACAGTACTGGAGAAGTGGTGTATCTGTAGCTCATTTGAAACTCAAATTTTCGCTCACAAAACAAAGCGAAAAATTTTAAATGGACCAGGCTCCTCAAAAAACTCGCATGTTGTAGCACTGGTAAAGTGAGGTACCAGTGCAATTACTTTGAACAGCCGGCTGGTGACAAGTTAAGTCCTGGGGAGCTGCAGTGCGTCGAGAGAAGTGACCATGGCCTCCTCCGCGTCGATAAAGACGGCGTATCTCATTACTGCCGCGACCTGTGGCATGCTGCCGCTCGGAATCCATCGTCTATAAAATCCATTTCACCACGGCCAACCCTCGCCGGAGCGACGGCGGAGCCAAATATTCATTATTCAAATTTGAGTCATTGGAAAGCCCAATGTGTTACTAAGGCCAGATGAGATGAGATGAAATAGCTTAGCCTTTTTGTCCGGGGACCATTGACTAATCGTCCCACTACCCCCACCCCCAAAAAATCAATTTCACAGCCGTAAGTAGCAGGCGGCTGTGATTGTACTGTACTGCTCAGGACCACTGCACCCCCAACCGCGCACCCCCTCCAATTCCCACAGCACGATCATCTAATACTCCCAGCAGCCGCCCAGAATAACTTATTGATAGATGATTATGTTACGGGTGGAAGGGACGGAAGAGCGACCGGTCTCTGTCATCTCCCCGGGGGCTATATTTGGAACGCTGTTACCAGATCCAGCTCACCTGGACACGACATATCACCCGCTGCCACCGGCGCGCCTCGACGCATAACAGTCACATTATCAAAGGCGTTTTCTGGTTGAGGAAGCGGAAGATTCCATCCATCCAACCATCCATTTTCCATAACGCTTATCTTGTTCAGGGCCACAGGGAGCTGGAGTCTATCCCAGCTGACAGACTACACCCTGGATTGGTCATCTTTAAGACAGAAGACCATTCATACTAACATATGCAGTCTTTAGTTACCTGGAAGGGTCTGCGATCATGATTCAAACCCTGATTTGGTGAACCAACTGTCCATTTTGAATAATTTTTCGGCGTTATGGGGTACTAGAGTCTATCCTGGTTGACAAACTACACCCTGTATTGGTCGCCAGTAAATCACAGGGCAGATAGTGAGACGGGCCACCATTCAGGTAGCCAGTCTATGGATAATAATGAGTCTTTCGTGAAAGTAATACACGTACTTGCCTGCTTTAGGAATGTGGTAGGAAATTAATATCTGGGGAAAACATTTTGAAAGTTCCGATCTGGCGGTCACAACCCAGAACCTTTGGTGACGAGGCAGATATCCCATCCGGAAGCACCACCATGCTGTCGTCCATCCATCCATTTATTGTACTGTCTTGTTCAGGCCTTGAATATGACACATTTTCCAGTGAATTCTCATTGAAAGTTGACTGAAAATTCTCTGTATACCTTTACTGCAAATTTTCTATGCCTTTAAAATCTTATGGATTACTCCTGGCTGGGACTGGTCAAATAGAGCCACAAGCCCGACACGTTGCCCTGAGTTAGTTGCTAAGCACATTAGATGACCCCAAATGTTCATTTTGCGAGGGAGGTTGTTTCAGGGGTTTTGGGGGGAAACAGGCCTGTCCCTTGCTCTGCCGCTGTGCTGAGACTGAAAAGTAGCGATGATCAATACCAGCGGGCCTTTTACTGGATCTCAAAGGTGTGTGTGTGTGTGTGTGTGTGTGTGTGTGTGTGTGTGTGTGTGTTGAGACGATCAGATGGATGTTTTCCAGCAGCAAAAGATAAATTCGTCGCGTATAATCGTGTCTAACCAGCATGCACCCAAGACTTCATTAACACCACCCGCTTGTGCACACACACGTACAAATTAAAAAAAAAAAAAAGCGCCCCCTTACCCTCAGCTGTCGCTCATTTTCACTTTCCCTCCTCACCCCAGGACCCTTTCCGCTCACAAACCGGAGATAACCTCCACTGCCGCCCCGCCGTCCGACTCCAGGCCCGTCCCAACAAGGCTGTTAAATACCATTCAAATGTCAGCCCGCTATATTGATTGGAATAATAATTCTGAAAGGTTGGAGCGATGCGCCGCGGTTGCTAAGCGGCCGCGTGACGGCCCCGAGCATCCTTCACTGTCACAAAGTTGCCATGTAAGAGCCCCCCGCCCCCCCCGCGCTCCCTTGCCGCCGCGCCGACATTGCTTTGCCGCGTCTTTGTGTCGTTCATCATTGTCCTGGCGGGCCAGCGAGGGGATGCGTATGAAGATCAATGGGGTCATTGTGAATACGCCTCGCGTGCGCCGCTGGCGCACCGGAGGATGCGTTGATCACCCTGCGTACAATAATCCCCTCAATACTGCTTTTTTTGAACGATCCCAATATGGGAGGGATGTGACGATCGATAAATCGGACATCCATGTGGCAAAAGCAAATCTTTCTCCGATGGTCAACAAAACCTCTTTTGTCATCTGACCAAGGCTGAGTAATTGAGAGAACAGGCTAAATGGCTTGGATTATGATTTTAGCCTTTCTCTCTACCACCGTAGTATTGTGTGACGATGTTAGGTTTAGGTATATTATTGGAGGAGGAAAAGAACGTCGACCATAATTGACATTTCAGTCGGTAAGTTGATAAAAAAAAAAAAAATAGATATGGAGACAATTCAGACACATCATTGAAAGACTGGCTAATTAATAAACGTTGCTGTTACTCGCTGTCGTGTACTATTGGGTTCCCAATTAGGTTTTCCCAAATTTCTCAAAGACAACCCAACCAAACATTTTTCTACATCTGCAAGAAAATGGTTTCCACAAACCCGAGGAGAGAAGTTTAGTTTGCGGTCTGTCCACCTTACTTACCTTCGCAAACATTTATCAAATTGGAAAAAAAGAAAAAAAAATGTACATTGACAGATGTATCCACATTTGGAAGTGACTTACATTTAATCTGCGGATATCAGATTCCTTGCTTCCCCCCCATCCTCTTTACACTGACTTGACCTATATCCCAATTGTGTCATTTAAGAGCAAAAAAACTTGAATTGTCACTCAAACCTTCCATCTATCTTTCATCTATCCATTTTTTTTAACCTATCCATCTAAGTCCTCATTTCTACTTCGATCAGTGAAATTGAAAACATTCAAGCACTATCACTTGATGCAGGAATTATTTTTAGGAAAACCTTTTTTTTTTTTTTTTTTTTTCAGTTTTCTTCCGAGCCCAAAAAAAGCTTTTGTTAAAAGCTGTTTCATCTTTGCCGGCACAGACAAACGAAAAAAAAAAAAAGCTGATCAAAACCTCACCTGGCAGGCACCTCGATGTTGGAGATGGCGTAGAAGTACTTGAGCAGGTTGTCCCGCTGCACGTACGTGCCTCCCAGGGCGGGTCTGAGGAGCCTCAGCCTGAGGTTGGTGAAGGTGAAGAAGTCCCTTAGTCCCTTCATGCTCTCCATGCGCGTGTACAGGCTGTCCATGTTGTGCAGCCGCGGGCCGGCGAAGATAGCGAAGCGCGCCCGTACCTCCAACGTGACATTCTTGTTGCTCTTGGAGCCCACCCAGCGTGAGTACTGCTCGGTGCAGATTACGCGAGTGATGTTGGCGGGCGTCAGGTCGCGTACGCGCTTGGCCGGCATGCCGAAGGCATCCAGGCAGTCGTCGGCGTAGTACTGGTACGCTTGCCAGGAGCGGCCATGGTCCGTGGACTTGTCCAAGATCATGATGGTGGGCCGGCCGTACTCGAAGGTGATGTGGATGTCGTCGGTAAGCTCCAGACTCTTGTTCCACGACATGGAGATGTTGGCTAGCAGGGGCTCCGGGTGGCGCCTCCACGTGACAGTCTGCCAGTAGGTCAGTAGACCGTTGCGTTCGCGGTCCTGCATCAGCTGAGGAGGGTGCGCCAAGTCCGGATTGGAGGCGTCGCATTCATCGCTGCACAGATATGGGTTCTCCTGCAACAACAAAGACATTTGGTTGACAAGAGGAGACAACAGTTTCATTAGATCACACAATTATTGTGTGATTTGTTTGATTTATCCATCCAATTTTCTGCCACTCATCCTGTTCAGGGTCACTTGTGACTTTGGCGACTTTGAGAAAGAGCAACCTGGCATGGTTGCAATTGATTGATCTATTCATTCCTTTGCTTGCATTGATCTTGCTGAGGTCGATAAGGGTCTATGGCAAATTTAGACAAGAACACCTTAGACTGGTCGCCTTTGGATAAAGGACCACGTTCCCTGAAGAAAAAAGATTTGATTTGGTTGAGGCATCCATTCAGCGGTTTTATGCTGCAATACCTGTTCATGGCCATTTTGGCATTTTAAGGCAAGTGCTCAAAGATTGAATGAAATGCGGTATGATTAGGTTGACAAAATGTATTTGATTTGGTTGGGCCGTCCATTCATTTTCCCCCATTAACTTGTTTGAAGGTCTCTTGTGACTCTGGTAACTTTGGACGAGAGCACCCTGAACTGGGCGCCAGCGGATGAAGGGTTAGATTCCCTCCATTCATTTACTCATGTTCAGGATTCAGATTGGAGTCCATTTGGATTCTCCACAACACTACAGATTGGTCACCAGTCAGACTGGAGATTCCAACCTAAAACCACCCGTGCCACCGTGCCAACAGAGGAAATTCCTTTCACTGCCCCACTATTGAACGCGTGTCAGCTACACAGATTCCATCATCCTTTCACTCTGTTACATCCCTAAAATCCTGGGATGGCCCAGTGCGGATTAGCCGACCTGACGTATTCCGAGCCTGGCGGATATTTCTGGAAAATAGATGTAGCACTCTGCTGTAAGCCAGTTGTCTGACATTTTACATCAGCGCAGAAGTTCAATATTTACACACAGAAATCCCACAGATCCCCGCAGCCGTCTCTCTCTCTTTCATTCTCTCCCGGCGCTTCATTTGCGCAATAAAAGATGGCATCGCAATGGTAATGATCATTAACCTCCCCGCGGGTACACTCACAAGGCTGAGAGAGGCCGATTATGATCTCCCAACATTTAGTTACAGCCATTCATTGGATCAAAAGGGGGGCTCGGTAATTGACATTATTTGTGTGGCTGAGTTAATCATCCATCGGTGATTACATCCACCGCAATCATGATTCAACATTTCCACATATTGGAGACTGATTATTTCAACAGCAATGACAAGGGCAGTTTTCCGCTCGACAGGTTTGCTGGCCTAGTACCTGGGATTAAATTTTATGGCGGATGTTATGCTCTTTCTTCTCCGAGCCGCAGCTAATGCAATATTCCTTTTGGATGTTAGCGCTCCCCGCTTAACAAGCTCCTGATGGAGAGTCTTAAAATAACCCTCCTCCCTCTTACTATCATCCGTCCCCATTCCACATTCTTCTGCTGGATTTTTAGCACTACATGATAAGCTATATAGTTTTACGACAGGTTTTTATGGCGCTTTTACATTCCGTTTTACGTCCCTGTGTTTGGCTCAATCCGAAATGTAGAAAGTAGAGCACTACCCCGACAGAAGTCGCTGATCTAATGGTACATTGGTCTGACTTCCTTGAAGGTCAAGGTGTAGTCTGCCTTTAAAAAAAATGTGAATGTTTTACCAACTTACATCACCAGTTGATTTCATCTTTTACCGTTATAAGTAAGGGAACTATTTTTGTTCTTTTTGTAGTGAGCGGCCGCCGTACGCTCAGCAGGCGGCGGCTACTTGAAGATGCGCGCAACAACAACACCCAAAGCCAGCTAATGAGCATGACAGTCACAAGAACTGAGAACGGGAATCTTGGAATCTTGCTTGACGATGCAGCATAACGGTCTTTTTACCTTCACCGGTTGTTTTACAGAGGTGGCAAATGCACGGGTTTTGTGAAAGTGAGCTGTCACTCACACCCAAGGTAGCAAAAGCAAAATTTACAGTGGAACCATACAAGGCCTCAAGGCACGCTCTATCATCTGATTTACTTCAACCGCAGCGAGCGGGAAAAGTGCTGAGTGGAGACAGAAGGAAGTAGCATTTGAGATGATCGAGAATCCTAAAACGATGGAGTGAAAATGCTGCTTGGGCTGCACTGGATGCTCGCCTTGACCATCTCATAACATAGTTATCGCCCGCGAGCTTAATGCTAACAAAGAAGGCAAAATGCAACAATATTTGAACAGTGCCGTAACACAGAAATGACCCACAAGCATGTTTTCTTTCTCCTCTGCCAAAAATGACTCGTATCACTGCATCTTACTGATTCAATGAGAGTCGTTAAGAATGAAGGCCAAGTCGCACACACCAGCAGGGGCCGCAATGAATTAATCACGAAGCACAGATGGTTAATTCTCTTCATTCTATTTGATGTTATTACAAGATGTTTTGATGAAGTACAATATAGAGTGCTATCTTCCCAACCATTTTCAATAAAATGGCCGCCAGCTACGACGTAAAAAACCATGAACATGTAATCCAGTGTAAACATGTCAATTACATTTACGATCCTATTTCAATCTGTTGTCCTCGAACTCTGCCATGGTTTTGTTGCCGTTTCGGATGATTGTCAAAATCGTTGATTTTGGCAACTCGGCCGAGCTTTGACTCCCTTTCGAAAGTGAGAGACCATTTCAGCCTTCATAGACAGTGAGATTTGCTTCCGTTTACCAGATGTTTTCAGACCATGTGCCCAGGACTGTGCCCTGCCTCCGGAAGTCCAACAATGTATGAGTCGATCAGTAGCGTTGCCAAGCAACAGAGGGCAATCCCACGCCTGTACATTTTGTTCATTAGCAAGAACGCGGCACCAGTTATCTTTCCACGGTTCATTTTCATGAAGGCCTTTTCACTATTTTGTGGGGAAAATGTGGTCATTACAATGAAGTTTACGTTGTAACGGTGTTCGTTGTAAGCAAAGTCGGCAAATGAAAAAGGAATCACTTGAAGTCATCACGTAAACGGCATATGTTGAAAAAAGGTTCAACTGTAGAGGTTGTGGAGTTGGGGTAGGGTGAAAAGGTTTGAATGTGTTTTGTTATGCCATCCACCGGTACTTCTTCTGATCTCGGCTCAGACGCGCGTTTACACACAGCGGACGGGATAAGCTGGCTTGTTGTTCCTGCAGTGACCCTCCACCTACAAATCCTATTGAAAGTGATCCCACTGTCAACTGGCCCAGATACAGCCTTCCCCCGTCCGACTTTCCTTCCGCATGTAGGGTAGTCGCTGACGTGCACAAAGACTGTTTTGAACATTGCTTACGTTTTATCTCCACCCCCCCCCAAAAAAAAAGGGTAATGTACATCGTTATTTACAAAGTTTGGTTTGAGTCCATTTCAGGTTTCTATGAGCCTTTTTCTAACTCAACAGTGATGTTGACAATTGCAGAAAAAAAAGCCAATTAGTTACATCATCTGATGAATCGCACTCAGCTCTGTCAATGTTCCTAAAAAGGGAACTCAAGGCAAAAACGGATGTTCTACGTGCCCCGAGTCATCTGTGGTACCTTATCATACATGGCAATTTTCCGCGGATCCGCGGAAATCCGCCGTTTTATTTCTGAAATTGATCATTTTTGTGAATCGTCTAAATCCGTTGAGAAAATTTTAGGGGCGGTCAG